CGTGAGGGGGCGGGGCGAGGTCGTTGGGCGGGGGAGGGGTAAGCGAGAGGTGAGGGCCACTGGTAGTACTCTGCAGGCTTGGAATTTGAAGGCTTGAAACCAGTCGTGCTTACCCCACCCCAAACTTCGGCCCGTGAGAAGCCAGGCGCAAACCTGAGGGAAGTGTCCGGTTGTATTTGGTTTGGGTGAGGTTGGGAAAGAGAAAGGAAACTGGGGAAAGAACGTAAGAAAGGTAAAGGAAAAACCGAGGTCGCTCCTGGTCTCTCTCTGCCTCAGAACTGAGGTCGGAAAAACCGGGGATGCCCTTATCCGGGTAAGGAGAACAAACAACAGGAAATTGCTGGGGCCGACCTGAGCGAGGACTCAGCGATGTGGGTTAGATGGGGACATCGGAGATGCACCTGCGCCCTGTCCTCCCACCGTTCCCCTTCACCTAAGGACCCGACCTAGAAGCTGGAGAGAACATAAGCATTTGACGCCGAGAGCGTTTGGGAATATGAAAGTCGATAGGCTACATGCTTACAGTGAACTTCACGTACTAAACAGAGCTTCAGAAACTGAGCTGAAAGGAGGCGTAAAGAATGAGCTCTCTCAGACTACTTGCTTACATAGCCGCCCAGATGAGCCCTGCAACTCCCTCGGGCTTACAAAAGTGTGGATATTCAGCCAGTCCCTGCTTTAGTCTGTTAAAGGCTTTGAGATCTTCCATTGAGTAAAATCCAGTGTTCTGACTTTGGATTCCTTCCCGGCAGAATAAATCCACACCTGCCCAAAAAACTCAGGTGTCTGTAGAAATATAAACCACCAAAATCCAGTTGTTCCCTACCTGCCTGGGCTGGAAGTCAGTAACCCGGAAAATGTAAAACAAGAACCCTCAAAGAATTTAGGACAAGATTTTTAAATATGAAAAAAAGTCACCCTATGAGATGATCTGTAAATGTGTTACAGAGGTCAGGGTGGCCTGAAGAGAGACTAAAATAAATCATCTGTAACCTAAGTGTCACATGCCCAGTTGATGCTGTCATAGTATAAGGGTGGGGTCCACAGAGAGTCTGCAACCAGCAGAGTCTGAATAAGAATGTATTGTGGGGCTCCCACTCTGTCTAGTAATGAAGCCTGACGAGCAGCACCAATACCCAAACCCAACCCACTGCCATTGAGTCCATTTCGACTCAACAGTGACTCTTTAGAACAGAGTAGAACTTCCCCATAGGGTTTCTGAGGCAGTAATTTTTACAGAAGCAGACTGCCTCATTTTTCTCCTGCAGAGTGGCTGGTGGGTTCAAAATGACGACCTTTTGATTACCAGCCAAATACTTTAACCACTACCACTACTTTTTCCACATACTCTGGTGAGAGCTCCTTACCCATTATAAGGGTAGTTAAAAAGCTTAATTCAGATTCAGTTATTCATTTAATAAATACTTCCAAAAAAACAAAACCCAAACACACTGCCATTGAATCAGATCCGACTCATAGTGACCCCTCCTTGAGTTTCTTTCTAAGGCAGTGTAACTATGGAAGTAGATTGCCCACCCTTCCTTCTGAGGAGCCACTGGTGGGTTTGAACCGCCAGCCTTCTGATTAGCAGTCAAATGCCTTAGGCACTGTGCTGCCAGAGCTCCTAAATAAATACTTGTTGTTGTGTGCCGTTAAGCCAGACCTGACTCATAGCGACCCCTCCTTGGGTTTCCGAGGCAGTATCACTACGGAAGTAGATTGCCCCATCTTCCTTCCGGGGATGACTGGGGTTTGAACCACCGGCCTTCTGGTTAGCAGTCAAGTGCCTTTAGGCACTACGCTACCAGAGCTCCTATGGTCTAGTGTCCAAGGATACATTAGCAAATAAGATCCCTGTCCTTGTGGAGTTTACATCCTACCAAATTTAAATTCTGGATATATTTTAAGAGTATACAAAGGCGTATGCTGTGATACTCATCAAATAATCTTCCAAGGGGTCTCCAGAGTAAATCAGTACACCCAGTAAGAGGCAGTTGTCCAAGGCACATGACTGGTACTAGTTATATTTACTATACAGTCTTTTGTCAATAAATTCACATTATGGCTTATAAATCATCTTCTGTTCATTGGGTTGAATATGAAGTTGTTTTATATAAATTAATTCCCCAGAGCCTGATTAAACTTGAATGAAGTAAAATGTAAGTTTCTGAAACTGCCAAACTGAGGACCAGACAAACCCTTATTTCATAGCAACCCAAGACACGATGCAACCAGTATTCAGCCTTGAGTCTCTCTTTAAACATCTTAAATGGAAGCTTTATGTGTGATTTCATGCTTAGAAATCAGCGGCAACATGATCCTAAGCTTAACCGTAAACCCAAACGAAACCCACACCTATCAACTCGATTCCAACTCATAGTGACCTTATAGGACAGAGTAGATCTGCCCCATGAGGTTTCCAAGCCTTGTAAATCGTTATGGAAACAGACTGCTTCATCTTTCTCCCACACAGCGGCTAGTGGGTTCAAACCACCATTTGGTTAGCAGCCAAATGTTTAACCACTATGCCACCAGAGCTCCTTAAGCTTAACCATAAGACAGTCAAAATCATCAGTTTAAAAAAAAAAAAAAAAACCTGAACTGCCCCACCTATGTAATACAGGCTCTTGTTGACATAATGTCTATAATAGGTATCTTATTCCAAGTATGAAGCCCAAGACTATAGCTCTCGGAGCACAGGTACTCACCTGCATTTATGCACTCTACCCCAAAGTAGAATAATAAACCAAAAAACCAAACTCACTGCTGTGGAGTGAGATCTGACTCATAGTGACCCCTCCTTGGGTTTCCAAGGCAGTATCACTACAGAAGTAGATTGCCCAACCTTATTCCAAGGAGTGGCTGGTGGGTTTGAACTGACAGCTTTCTGGTTAGCAGTCAAATGCCTTAGGCACTATGCCATGAGAGCTCCTAGTAGAATAATAAAGCAAATTAATTGATTCAGTGACCATTTTTCCTCTGTAAAACTCAATTTACCCATGGAAGATAGCTTTTCCAGATCTTCCTTTATAATATATAACCAGTATGTTCCACATGCAAGACTCATGGGATGTTAAAACAAACAAACAAAACTTTTACTTTTATCTTTCACCGTCCCTTTAAGCCTGTGCGGGGAGAGTAGATCTCTCATGCATGTGATTGAAAACACAAGCAGATTCTATGACTTTGTTTCCTTTTGTTGTTGTTGTTAGGTACCATTGAGTAGGCTCCAACTCATAGCGACCCTATTTACAACAGAACAGAACATTGCCTGGTCCTGCTCCAGCCTCACAATCCTTGCTATACCTTAGCCCATTCTTGAAGCCACTGTGTCAGTCCATCTCACTGAGGGCCTTCCCCTGTTTTGCTGACCCTCCACTTTACAAAGCATGATATCCTTCTCCAGGGAATGGATTATTGGCTCAGCATACAGATTGAATAAGTATGGTGAAAGGATACAACCCTGATGCACTCCCTTCCTGATTTTAACTTCTGACAACATGACCAAAGTAGGTGAAACAAAGTCTGGCCATTCTCGCTTCCAAGGGACGTTAAGGTTGTACTTCTTCCAGGACAGATTTGTTTGTCCTTCTGGCCGTTCATGGTACTTTCAGTATTCTTTGCCAACACAACTCAAAAGCATGAACTCTTCTTTGGTCTTCCTTACTCATTGTCCAGCTCACATGCATCTGAGGCTATTCAAAATATGATGGCTTCGATTAGGCATATCTTAGTTTTCAGAGAGACATCTTAACTCTTTAGCACTTTTAAGAGGTCTTTTGCAGCAGATTTACCCAGTGCAGTATGACATCCGATTTCTTGACTGCTGCTTCTATTGATGTTGATTGTAGAATCAAGTAATATGAAATCGTTGACAACTTCAGTATTTTCTCCACTTACCCTGATGCTGCTTATCGGTCCAGTTATGAGGATTTTCGTTTTCTTTATGTAGAAGTGTAATCCATACTGCAGACTGTAGTCTTTAATCTTCATCAGTAAGTACTCTTCACTTTCATCTTCACTTTCAGCAAGCAAGGCGTTATCTGCATATCACAGGTTGTTAATGAGTCTTCCTTCAATCTTGATGGCACATTCTTCTTCATATAGTCCAGCTTCTCGGATTATTTGCTCAGCATACAGATTGAACAAGCATGGTGAAAGGATACAGCCATGACACACTCCCTTCCTGATTTTAAACCGTGCAATATCCCCTTATTCTTTTCAAACAATAGTCTGCGTACAGGTTCCTCATTAGCATAGTTAAGTGTTCTGGAATTTCCATCCTTCTCAATGTTATCCGTAATTTGTTATAATCCACACAGTCAAATGCTTTTGCACAGTCAACACAAGTGAATATCCTTCTGGTATTCTTTGCTTTCAGCCAAGATCCATCTGACATCAGCAATGATATCCCTCAGTCCATGTCCTCTTCTGAATCCAGCTTGCATTTCTGGAAGTTCCCTGTCAATATACTGCTGCAAAACCATTTTTGAATTATCTTCACTAAGATTTTACTTGTGTGTGATATTAATGATATTGTTCAATAATTTCCACATTCTGTAGAATCACCTTTCTATGGAATGGGGTACAAATATGGCTCTCTTCCAGTTAGTTGGCCAGGTAGCTGTCTTCCAAATCTCTTGACATAGCCAAGTGAGTGCCTCCAGCACAACATCTCAGTGGGTATTCTGTCAATTCCTACAGCCTTGTTTTTCACCAATGCCTTGATACAGCTTCAACTTCTTCCTTCAGTGCAGCTCCAACTTCTTCCTTCAATACCATTTGTTCTTGATCATATGCCACCTCCTGAAATAGGTGAACATTGACCAATTCATTTTGGTACAGTGACTCTGTGTGTTCCTTCCATCTTCT